TCTTTTGAATTCCTTATCAGGGAGTTCCAGTGCTGCTTCTTCCTCAGGGATGTGTTCTGGGTCTGTATCCTGGTCCCTTGTTTCTCTTCCTTTATCTTGCTTCTTTGTGTGAATTGTGATGGTCTGTTGTCTCCGAGACATTGTGACTTTTTGTATTTATATTTAATTGATGATTATATGTTGGAGTGATTCATCCAAGATTTTTGTTTTCTTTGGATGTTATCTAAGTAAGCAGGGTATTGTGTTCCTCTATTCACTAGTTGGCAGCACTTATACACGTACCACCTGTCTCCTTTCCTGTTGTCAGCCTTCCGTATGTCCCTGTTGTCCTTGGCAAAGGGAGCCTATTCTTAGGTCCCTGGAATCTGAATGAGAATGCTGTCACTTTAAATATCCAAAATGGCCACTGCCTGTAAACAATTAAAATGGCTATGCCCTCTGGAGAGCCAAAAGTTTACAGCTTAGGTTGTCTCCCTCCTTGGTGTTTCCCTTCCTAGTCATTGGCCACCAACACAACCATCCCTGCAGCCCTTGGTGACAAGGGCTGATCTTTCGGTCAATTCTCAGATCTCTGCACCACATGGAAATATTCAGGTTGTTGGTGCTGTCAGAGTAGCTGACAGTCTGCAGCTCTGTCCATCTCCATACTCACTGTTTTCATTCAGGTTTTTCCACTAGTTGGTGCCTATTCCACTTCTGTATACTTCCTTTCAAAGCTCAGGGCTCCAGGATTATCTTCTGTATCTCTGTCAATTGGTTTCTTGTTTCTTTGTTGAAGACGGTCTATGTAGCTTGTCTGCCTATTCCTCCATCTTACCAGAATTCTTCTGTATTTTGAAATTCTTGCCAAGAGAAAACATGACTAGATATGAAATTATTCTTCAGTATCACTCAACATCACCAATTGTCAAAGAAAGAAAAGGAAGAACTGATGGGTTATTTGCATATCATTTCAACTGTTGAAAAAATTTTAATGTCTTTGAAAAAGGTTTTTCTTTTTTACCACCTATTTCTGTGAGCAAAGTTTTTTTTTTTTTTTTTTTTTAAATCATGGTGATTATCAGTCATTTTAGTAAATTAGCATGTAAAGATCTTGATCAAGTGTTTAGTCATTTTCAAGCATAAAATCTAATAAAATTATGTTTATAGACACAAGATCAAGTTTTGTATAAAAGTTTAAAATATTTTATTTGGATGTTTTATATAAAATCAGTATTTAATAACTTCAGAAAGCTTTCAAGTCCCCTTCGGTTTACCCTGGTATTCTATCCAAATATCAACATTTTCTACGTGTGCCATGAAGTGAGAAAGGTTGGAAATAATGGGTTGAGCTACTTGTTCCAGGAAGTCTTCCAGAAACATCCCAAACTGCCATCAGCTATTAACTTTCCAATGCACATTTACATGTGTTTATAATTAGTTTAATGATATGTTTCCACTGGTTCATTTTTTGTCTACTCTATTCCTCTAATTTCCACCCCTATGAATCCTGTGAAAGTAAGGATCTTATCAGTTATTTTCTGAATATCAGAAGTGCAGTGTAGGGGTGGGGACCCCTGATTCAGTGTGTTTAGTCTGAGGATATTCTCTGACTTCAAGTTCCCTTTAGCTGGTGTGGTAGTTCAGTTGGTGTGTCAACTTGGCTGGGCCTGGTTGAGTAGCTGGGCAGCTGGATGTAGTATTGCCCACGATGAGACTGGTAATCAACTCCATGGTGGAATCTACTGTAAGCAGCTGAATAGCTGCCTTAGGGAATGTGGTCTGCTTCCTGTATATAAGCAGAAGCCTTGGGGAATGGTCTCTATCTTATGGCACGCTTGTACCCTGCATGTAGCCGTG